AAAGGAAGGAAAAGGCTTTTAACTGCACACTTAAAATTATGTTACTTTAGTGCCCTTTCTCCTCTAAACTGACAAATACTTTAGTGCTTTAACATTTTAATTTAAATCATACTATCTTGGTAATTATTATTCTTTTCCAAATATACCACATTCCTATTCCACTTCCACTGCCTTCAAGTAGATTTTGACTCATACAGACCCTATGAGTCAAAATTAACTTGATAGTAGTGGGTTCCTATTTCATTGCAAAATCTGAAATTTTAGTAGTATAATATCAAGTCAATATCAGAGGGTCTTGGGTTGGTAATTCTTTCTTTGATTTAGTCCTTTGTATGAATGTAAATATTTAGAGACAGAAATGACTTCCAAGAGGTTATTAGATATAAAGTTCTATATTTTAATCCCATAAAGAACCCCAATGAAATTCAAAAATTAATATTTTAAACAGGGATGCTAAAATATTTTAACAAGCTTATTGTCAGACCTCCCATGCAATCACAATATTTTTGCCAATGTTTGTCAGCAGCAGACCACCTACAAGAAGGCATGGGTCCTGGGATGTGATGCAGAGGGTGCCAAACTACAGGTTGAATGAAAAAGCAACTAGCCCCTTGATGTCCGTATCTCTTTCATGGAGAGAAACTATGCTGCTGTTTCTTGCTGTATTAACTCATTCTTATTTTACATTTCTTAAACAAGTTTCTATGTTTAACAAAAAGATTGAAGTTTCTACTGGTGGATTTTATTGTTAAACACTCTCATAATACTGAGGAAGACTGACACCATGATCATCACCACTGAAGGACCAGAATCAGCCTATTTCAAGGGAACACTAAACAACAATTTAGGGTGATAATAATAACAGTTTAAATCCCATTACCTTTTTTTTTTTTTGGTCATTTTGAATGAGGCCCCTTTCACTTAATATTCAGATTAGAGATTTAGATTAAGCCAGGATATTAAAAAAAGGTAGTTTATTGGCTGTACTGGGATCAATAGTGTCCCCCTCCCAAATTCATGTCCACCTAGAACCTCAGAATGTGACCTTATTTGGAGATAGCTTCTATGTGTATGTAATTAGTTAAGATGATCCCAAAGAATGGAGCCAAAATCCAACAAGTGGGGCTTTATAAGAAGGGCTTGTGAAAACACATAGGCAGAGACACATACTAATGGAAGCAGGTTATGTGAAGACAGAGGCAATGACTGGAATGATGAAGCTACAAACCAAGAAATGCTAGAGATTGCCAACAATGACCAAAAACTGGCAAGTGCTATTGGTATGAAAGCATCTTTAGAAACAATCCAGTGCATGCCTTAACACCTGAGAGAACATCAGAAACACAGCATCCTATACTTATGGAAAATTTTGCAACCTGCATTGAGCAAGCAATTTGTGGATCTGGTATCAAGTTTAACTTTGTTTTCCTCTATATGGCACATACACACACACACACACACACACACGACTCATCTTTTGATAAATAATCTTGATTTCCTTGATATCAGAACATGTCTTGGTTAGTGAGATATAAGTCAAATAACATTTAATATCTGGCTATAATCATAATCTGAGGGTTCATGTAAGGATTCATTCCCAAATCCACTATTATATGGCTACATATATAATGTTCTGGCTAATACTCATGAGTTTTCTGAGACGCCAGAAGATTCATAGACACATTTGAATTCTCTTTTAGTTGCAGATTTCCTATGGTCTGATACAGAGTTATTATTTTGGTCTTAAATTTTGTTTTATTTTGTTTTAATTTGACAGAGTCTTGGAAAAAAGAATGTACAGACCTTGATTCTAAGCTGTATAAGTTTTTGTTTAGTTTTTTAGACATTCTTTGAACTATAACTTTATTTCAAAATATATGTAAATAATATGAAGGATACTAGGAAAAATAAATCTGTGGTTTTACAAATGAAAACATTCTCAAGCCATGAGCACCTTGTGTTTATAGAGAAGTCATACCACAAAGCATGGTTCCTTTTCCTTTTGGTAAATTTAAATATAGTGGATGAAGTGGAAGTTATAAATAAATTCAAATTTTCATGTCAGTGGAAAGTCCTCATTAATTAATCTTTACCTGAAAAATTAACTTGAAGTAACTTGTAGGTATAACACTGTATGTCTTACATTAGGCAAATTATTAGCAACAAGACAAAATAAGTTATGACACAGTGTATCAAAGAAATGAATTGTATAGTTATGAACACTAAAAGGGTAATACTTCCCTTAATGTCATACACAAAAAAATTTGGGAGTGATAAGATGAGGCTTATTCTAGCATTCATATATGTATATCTAGTAATATACTGTATAACAATCACAAACACTTCCGCTTTTAATTCTCTTCTTCCTGACACATAAAGGGAACCAATATAATACTCTATCCTTGCTGGAATTATTTCTCCGTATCCTGTTACCTTCTTTTCTTCATCTTTCCCTTCTGCGTATTATCTTCAATCTCATAGACCCTTCCTAATGTGTACCTCTTTTTGGTTTGGTTTGTTATAGCAGCTTAATGTAAAGTGAAAATTTATTTACAACAATGGCAAAAAGAAAAAAAAAAAAAAAAAGCAGCTGCTGAGGCTACTTAAGTAAACCAACTACTTCCTGGGACCTGTTTCCTTGGATTGGCAGTTTAGAGTCATGGTTTCATGGGACATCACAGTTAAATGTCCTAATAATGTGTTTAGTGTTTCTGTTTTACCACCTACTTTGTTGAGTAGTTATTGGCTGGGGTCTTAAAAGCTTGAAAGTGGCCATCCAGACACAACAATTGGTCTTTATTCACCTGGACCAACAGAGGAAGGAGGAGAATCAGGAATAGGAAGAAGTTATGAAATGTGACTTATTACTTCCATGAAAAACTGCCTCCTTTGTCTTGGGACCAGAAGAACTGGATAGTGTCCAGCTACCATTATGGAACATTTTAATAAAAAATTCCACAGAAGACTGAACAAAAAAGGGGAAATGCAGAACCAAATTTTGAATTTTCATGGGCTCCATACTTTCTAGAGTCATGGAGGCTGGATGAACGAACCCCTGAAACTATTGCCCTGAGATAATCTTTCAACATTAAGCCAAAAATATCACTGAAGTCATCTTACAACTGAATAATAGTCTAGCTTAAGTAGTTTAAAAAAAAAAAATGTCTACCTTTGAGCATTATGCTTTTTTAATAACTATCTATATGGGATCAACTTGACAACTTGAAAGATTAGATAGGAGTCTCAGGGAGCAGAAAGTTTATGCTAATGAGGAAGGAACAATGCAGAAAAGGAGGGTGAGTATCATTGTAAAACTAGAAGAATGTAATCAATGTCACTAAATTGTACACGTAGAAATTTTTGAATTGGTATATGTTTTGCTATGCATATTCTCAACCACAACAAAAAATAAAATTTAGGAAAAAAATTACTGATCAAAAGTTTAAATAATGGCTTTTATTATGGGAAAAACTGAATTAAATAGCATTTCCAAAGATAATTCCATGAACAGTTAGTAAATATGTTAAACACAAAATGTGCCCATAAGATCAGTTTGAAAAATCTATCAAACAAAATTTAACATGTTTTTTACTTAAAAATGTATCCAATCCTTTTATATGAAAAATTGAATATGATCTCCAAGAGCCAAGTTTATTTTATCTTAAACATTTTCTTTTTATTTATTTATTTTTAATTTAGTCACTATTACCACAGTCTGGAATTACTGTTACTATGGAACTGAGTTTTCAGATTGCTAAGAGAAAGAAAAGAAGTCTAGTTTTGGAAATTTGAAAACATGCTCTTGGTAAAGATGGGCATTTTCAGACTGAAAGTATGTTACAGATGCCTCACAATCTTATCATCACACTGATTATTCCAACTTATATGTAGTCTTTATTCACCAGAGATAGATAAGTTAGAGAAAGCCAGGCATGAAGAAAACTAGAGCAAGGAAGAAGGTGAGGTTTGCAGAATGCAAAAATGCAAAATTTGAGAATGAACTTTCATGCATCTAACAATGAATGCCTATTTGAATTTTGTACCCTAGACACCTGAGTCCTGACCACAGCTTCTTCATTCTTATGGAAGTAGTTTTCCTTTTAAACCTCAGAACTCTATTCTTATTATACTATGTTAATTGAAACTGTAGTAAATGTTCTTTAATTAAAAAAAAAAAAAATCAAATACTACAGAAGTGTAAAAAAATAAAAGGTAGGTTCTCTCAATGCAGTAATTCCACTCCTAGGATCTGAAAACATGTCTACACAAAACTTGTCCACAAATGCTCATAGAAGCCTTATTCATAATATTCAATATCAAGAGGTATCAAGAACTATTACATAATAGTCAAAAGGTAAAAAATAATTCTATTAGCTGATGAATGAATAAACAAAAGAGATATATTTACTCAATAGTATATTTTTCAGCCATACAAAGAAATGAAGTAATGATATATGCTGCTACAACATGGATAAACCTTGAAAACATTATGCTAAGTGAAAGAAGTCGGACACAAAAAGCCACATATTGTATGAATCCATTTACATTACATATCTTAAGTAGGCAAATTCATAGAGACAGAAAATATGTTAGTGGTTGCCAGAGATTAGGGGGGTGGTAGTAGAGAGTGACTGCTAAAAGGTACAAATTTCTTGTTGGCATGATGGAAATATTCTGGAATTACATAATAATAATGGTTGTACAACACTGTGAATATATAAAAACCACTGAACTATACACATTGAAAAAGTAAAGTTTATATTATGTGAATTATGCCTCAATATATTTTTTAATGTTAAAAAAAGTAAGTGTGTGTTCGTGCAAAAGACCTATTTGTAAGTATTTACTTCTTTAACTCATTTAATCCTCCTAAAAATCCCAAAAAGCCTTCTTTTACAGATAAAGGAGCTGCAGTACAGGGACTCAGCAACTCGTCCATGGTCCTGCAGTTAGTAAGTGACAGAGTTGGGCTTATAAAACAGGCAGCGTAGATTCAAAACCTAGACTCCTGCTAATTTACCAGGAGTAACTACCATTAAAAGTTAAGAGTATATCATTCCAAATAATTTCCATTAAGGGACAGAGAGAGAAAGTAAAGATAAAGCATATATTAATGGGACATTACCAGGCTTAGATAACTACATCCTTAAACTACCAAATCTGACCTACTACCTATTTTTGTACAACCTATGATCTAAAAAATAGTTTTTACACTTTTGGATGGCTGAAAGACAAAATTAAACCAAAGGAATATGAGTATATTCAAGATAAAATTCAGTGTCCATAAATAAAGTTTTATTGGAACACAGCCATGTTCATTCATTTATGTTTTGTCTATGGCTGCTTTCGCACTAAAACAGCAGAGATGAGTAGCAGCAACAGAAACCATATGGCCCTATAAAGCTTAAAATATTTCCATCAGGCAGAAAAAGTCAGCTGACCCCTGCATTATACTATATACCACATTCTGAAGTTTTCTTTTGGCACTAAACATTGTATCATGCTAATCCTTCCAGAATCCTTATACGTTTCCTTACTTTCTTTAAATAGTTGCAAATTAAAAATGTATCTGCAATTATTTAACCATGTCCATACGTAAGAAAATTTCATATCTTCTACCAACTTGTTCTCAAAACAGTTGGATTAATGTACTTGCCTTTTAAGTATGTGAAAATGACCTACATTGTGGTGGCTGAGGCACCTGGAAATCAAAATTTTATGCCTAACCCATTTGAATGAAGGCTTGTCTCTTGGTTGCTCAGTGGCTATCTGACATTGACGATGAATCCTGAACTGACACTTCTGGGCTGCGTGGTTGTTTACAGAGATGCATCTCTTGCTCCTCTCAACCACTTTACACTTTTCTAGCTTGGGCTATTAAACAAGAACTTCCATCCTTTTACAAGTAGTTGGAAGAGTGTAAGAGTAGTTAATAATCTTCTCTTTGCCCTTCCCTTACCCAGTTGTTGCTGTGACGTGTCATTAAAGCCTTTTCCCTTCAGAACTGAAACATTTATTCTCCCAGGTACTGGAAGCTAACAAGTTACAGTTATTTTATTTTATAGGAATTGCCTTCAGATGAAGAAAGCCACTTTGCCCATTGGCATATTATTTTTCCAGAGGCAGGTAACACACAATAACTGGGTCATTTCAGGAATATGATGAAAGCTCAATCTACTTAACTCAAGGCAGAACAATTGTGAAAACCAATCCAAATCTAGACTTATCTATAGAATCTATGAAAATCTGTTTAAACTTTATCACATGTCACTCTTCCTTCTGTCCAATACTTCTCTTATTCAAAGATGATGTCCTGAAAGTACACTGAACTAAACTTTCTATTAGCAGAGTCTTAACATTTGCTTCCTCAGGGACTTGACCTACAATATCCCTGTTTAAACTCCTTCTAAAGGGAGAGATGTGATATTTGATGTGATGCTTGATTTCCAGAGGCAAACCTGAGTAAACACTGTTCTCTTTCTACAATAATGGAAGGTCTAAACTCTGGGACAAGAAAGATGTCTATGAGAATCTTCTCTGAACTCCATATTGTCCCTTGTATTAGACCTCCCAAGATCTGAATTTAGTTGAAAGTACTACAAAGTCCAATTGTGGTAGTACATTCAATTTATGGTATCCATTTCTACATCATCAAATTTATGTCAAAATTTATCTTTATTTCTTTGATTCCTTACTCTGAGTTTTATCAACTGGGTCAAAACTCATTGGATAGGTTTGAATAGTAATCATAGTCCTAAACTCATACTGACACAAAGCAGTGCTATCTATGTACATATCCAACAAGGAAATACTCACTCTTCATTATTGACAATTGGAACTGCTTAATTTTTCTATATATACAGGAAGAGGTTTCTCCAGCAGTCCTTTTGAGAGTGACCATTCAAATCTAAACTTGGGCACCTAACAATATAACTTAGGCAAGTAGGTTTCAATAAGGAAATTAAGCATTAATATCTCTATTTGTAAATTAATCTAAAAACCCATCTCAGATTTAGTTTAAAGATTAAAGCAACAATAAGTGTCTCATACAATTCCTTATGCATTGTTAGCTGCTGATGAATTGGCCCTGGACTCACAGTGACCCCATGCATAATGAAAAGCAATGCTGACCAGTCCTTCACTATCCCCATGATTGGTTACTGATTGGACCACTGTGATCCATTACTTCTCATTGGCTGATTTTCACAACTAAGTAGGTTACCAGGCTTTTCTTAATAGCGTTAGTTTGGACATCCTTCTGAAACTTGCTCATCATCCCAGCAACACACAAGCCTCCACTAACACATAGATGGTGGCTGTGCATGAGGTTCATTAATCTTGAATTAAACTCAGTTCTCCTCCTGCATGGAAGATCGAAAATTCTACCACTGAGGCACTATTTCCTCTCAATGTTTTATATAGTGGGTGTATAATAAATCTTAATTCACTGCTCAGTAAGTATCAAGAATTATATGATATATGCAGATGGATCCTCTTTAGGTTTCATACTGACAGGAGGAACAAAAGTCATAAAACTTCTCTTGACCACTTCCAAAAGGGGCAGAATGTCTTTTAAATACCACGAACTATTTCAGCCTGAATTTCTGAATGATCAGTCTATGAGTCAGACTCACATCAAAGTTACAAGTACAAAAGTAGGTAAAAATTGACAGAGAATTCAAGCAGAAAGCAACTACAAATCATGTTTGTTTCACCCTTTATGGAATAAAATACTCAGAAGGGGAATCTCCTTTCACTGCTAAGAGTATTATTACTCTGGTCACACAGGTACCCTGGAAATGAGATTAGGAATAGCTTCTAGAGTCTAGCTGCCCTTGGTGGCAGCTACCAAACTGGGACTCAAAACAGATCTGGCCCTCTATCTCAGACAACTCTTGAGCTGTCGTCATTATGCTAATATATGGTAAATGATGACAGGAAGCTTCCTAGACATGGGAGAAACAATATCCATGATGTTTTATTTACAACATATCTTGGAAGCTGGAAATTAAAAAGGAAACTGAATTGGGTGTAGCAGGGGAATGACCAACTCACGAAAGCTCAATGGAGCACAGTTAACCAATATGAACATATACTACTCATATAAAAAGTAATAAAAAACCAAAATGGATGTTAGAAGAGACTCTGAGTCTTCCATTTGCTTTAGCTGAACAGAAGATTTCAAAGAGTAGCTCAAGAAGACAAAATCAATTATTGCAATGAAATGTACAAAGACCTGGAGCTAGTGAACCAAAAGAGAAAAACACACTCAGCATTTCTCGAGCAGAAAGAACTGAAGAAAAAAATCAAGCCTCAAGTTGCAATACTGAAAGATTCTATGGGCAAAATTCTGAATGATGCAGGAAACATCAGAAGAAGATGGAAGCAATGCACAGAGTCACTGTACCAAAAAGAATTCGTTGATATTCATCCATTTCAAGAGGTGGTATACATCAAAAACCGATGGTATTGAAGGAAGAAGTTGAAGTTGCACTGAAGGAATTGGCAAAAAATGAGGCTCCTGGAATTGAATGAATGCCCATTAAGATGTTTCAACAAACAGATGCCACACTGGAGTTACTTACTCATCTATGCCAAGAAATATGGAAGAAAGCTACCTGGCAACTGACTGGAAGATATCTATATTGTACCCATTCCAAAGAAAGGTGATCCCACAGAATGTGGAAATTACTGAACAATATCATTAACATCCCACTCAAGTAAAATCTTGCTGAAGGTAATTCAAAAATTGGTTGCATCAGTATATTGACAGAGAACTTCCAGAAATGCAAGCTGGATTCCAAAGAGGATGAGGAATGAGAGATATCATAGCTGATGTCAGATGGATCTTGGTTGAAAGGAAAGAATATCAGAAAGATGTTTACTTGTGTTTTACTGACTATGCAAAAGCATTCAATTGTGTGTGCATTGTAACAAATCATGGATAACATTGAGAAGAATGGAATTCCAGAGCACTTCATTCTGCTCATGAGGAACCTGTACATAGACCAGGAGGCTGTAGTTTGAACAGAACAAGGGAATAATGCATGGTTTAAAATTAGGAAGGGAATTCATCAGGTTATATCCTCTCACCATACTTATTCAATTATATTTCAAAGGAAAAATTACTATCCTAAGAGTAGAAGAAAAGTTATGAGACCAAACTCAGGCTGTACTTAATGAGCTACTCATACCAGTTTCTTCAGGAATGCAGAAATTATTGCAAAATGGTTAGGTTTTATAATCATATTGGCAAAATATAACTTTACATATGAGAGAGATAAACCAAAAGACCATGCTGAGCAAATACTCCAAGGAGCTGGACTATATGAAGAAAAGTGTGGCATCAAAATTTGAGGAAGACTCTTTAACAACCTGCAATATGCAGATGACACAACCTTGCTTGCTGAAAGTGAAGATGACTTGAAGCACTAACTGATGAAGATTAAAGACTGCAGTCTACAGTATGGATTACACCTCAGCATAAAGAAAACAAAAATCTTCACAACTAGACTAATAAGCAGCACCGTAACAAATGGAGAAAAGATTGAAGTTGTCAAAGACTTCATATCACTTGCTTCCACAACCAATACCTATGGAAACAGCAGTCAAGAAATCAGACAACGTATTGCACTGGGAAAATACATTGCAAAAGACCTCTTTAAAGAACTGAAGAGCTTTAGCACATATAGTACTGTGTTGTCAGTGAAGGCAAATATTGATACACAGGTGGATAGATGGGTTGACAGGCTGAACTATTAGGTCTGTCTATGCAGGGGGGAGTGTGCCCAAGACCATTTGTAGCATTGTCAATGATTCTACAAGTGTATTTGTATGTTCTGTAAGAATCCCCAGGCATGTAGTAGACCTGACAAGGGACAAGGTTATAGTCACTTCTTAGCCCTAGGCAGTTACTCAGAGGGAGAGAGTAGTTGGACCTGTGGGCTCGGGACCATAGTCCCAGGGGACATCAAGCTCTATTGGCATAACATAATACACAAAAACATTGTTCCACATCCTTCTTTGGTGAGTAGTGACTGGGATCTTAAAAGCTTGCAAGCAGCCATCTAGAGGCAACGATGGATCTCTCATCATCCAGAGCAAGGAAGAATGAAGAAAACCAAAGATGCATGAAAACAATTAATCAAAGTGACTGGAACACTATGTGATCCTCAGCCTATAAACTTTTTTGAGACCAGCAGAACTAGAAGGTGCTTGGCTACCACTGTTGACCACTCAGAGGGGGATCTCTGTAGGAGATCCTGGATAGAGTGGGAGAACAAAGTGGAACAAAACTCAAAATCCTAAAAACAAACAAACAAAAAAAGCGACCATGTTTGCTGGTCTGATAGACCCTGATGGAACCACTGAGACTATGGACCCTAGGCTGCCCCTCAGGTCTGGAATTGAGCCCAGTCAAGTGGCTTCCAGTCAAATAAAACACAGGCATATGAGCTGAACTTTTACATTAGATAGATAACACTCCTTAGAGAGATCAAACATGGAATAGAAGGGTTGTGTATGCACAGGGAGACATCTCAGGGGGCAGGAGTGCACGAGAGGAAAGGACACAGGGGAGAGGTAACTATGGGGAGGAAGTGAGAGGAAGCTGTTGCATTGTGGTAAATTATAGTCAATGTCATGAGATAAAGTGTATATGAGCTGCTGTAAGGAAAGTGAATTTGCTTTGTAAACTTTCACCCAAATCATAATAAAAATTTAGGAAAAAAAAAAAAAGTGCTAAAGACCAAAGGTGTGTCTTTGAAGACTAAGGTTGCTTAACCCAAGCTATGGTATTTTCAATTGCCTCATATGCATGTGAAAGGTGGACAATGAATATGGAAGACTGAAGAAGAGTTGATGCTTTTGTGTTGTGGTGTTGGTGAAGAATACTGAAAGTTCCATGGACTGCCAAAGGGACTAACAAATCTGTCCTGCAACTAGTGCAGCTGGAATGGTACTTGGAAGTGAGAATGGCCAGACTTAGTCTCACTTAGTTTGGTCATGGTGTCAGAGGGACCATTCCCTGGAGAAGGTTATCATGCTCAGTAAAGTGGAGGGTCAACCAAAAGGGGGAAGGCTCTCAATGAGATGAATTGATAAAGTGGCTGTAATGATGGGCTCAGGTACAGCAAGGATTGTGGGTCTGACACAGGACTGGGCAGTGTTTTTTTTTTTCTGTCATGCATAGGGTTGCTATGAAGTTGGAGCTGAATCGACAACCCTCACAACAAGAACATTCATATCAAGGCAAATGCAACTTGATGCTGAGCATTTATTACTCTAGAGTTCTCTACTGCGAACTAGCATTCAGATAAAAGATTATGGACACCATAGAAAAACTAAAGAAAAGAAGAGTTTTTTTTTAAACTTCTGGAGAGAATGTTCTAGATGTCAGAAAGTGTTATAGGAAAAGGACCTGGGCTTGAAGGTGGGTGCCAATGGAATATAGACTGTTGGAATATAACAACTCATTTTGTTTGCTTTTTTTCTGTCTCTGGTGGTATATTATTGAGTGAGAAATATGGAGACTTAAAGGATATGTTCCATTATCTGTAAACATAAGATACCAGAAATTATATTTCAAAGGAAAAATTACTATCCTAAGAGTAGAAGAAAAGTTATGAGACCAAACTCAGGCTGTACTTAATGAGCTACTCATACCAGTTTCTTCAGGAATGCAGAAATTATTGCAAAATGGTTAGGTTTTATAATCATATTGGCAAAATATAACTTTACATATGAGAGAGATAAACCAAAAGACCAATTCACTTCCATTGAGTCAGATCTGACTCATAGAGACCCCTCCTTGGGTTTCTGAGGTGGTATCTCTATAGAAGTAGATTGCCCCATCTTCTTTCCAAGGATTGAAGTATTTTACATGTCTTTCTTTTTCTTTTTTTTTTTTTTTAATTATTCTTTAACCTTTTCTTTTCTTTTTTTTGAAAATAAGTAACCCACCAGCTTACCTGCATCAAACCCCACAGTTGGCACTATGTCCACTGTTCCATGAAAGGCCCCGGCCCACGCTGAGGTAGCAGTGGTGACTGTAGTCGGATCTGTCTTTGTGATGTCACACTGGGGAGCAGGAATCCTGGCTGCATGCACTGATGGCATTAATAGAGCCCCATATGGCGGATCCAGGGTAGAGCCAGCAGAAGGATGATGGTGGTGGTGGTGGTGGTGGCGGTGGTGCATGTGGGCGTGAGGGTGATGGTGCCGCATGTACACATCATGCATATGGCTGTAGGATGGGCTCACCTGAGATGCCAAAGGGTAGTGCCAGGACTCGGACATGGGAGGGTGAGGGGCTGGGCTAGTCTGATGGAGGCTGTGTCCCGGCCAGGGGCTGGGGTCTGCTGCAGTAAAGGTGCCAGGGGGTGCAGTGACCTGGAAGTCAGGATGAACTCCCCCTAAACAGGGTGCAGGTGGGGGCTGGTAAGAACTGGTCCAAAAAGAAGTTGGGAAACTACTCCGCTGGCTTGAGAGAGCTGAGTTGTCTAAGAAAACAAGAAACAAAAATATATATTTATGTAAGATTCGATTCTGGGAACTTACCTTTACTTGTCCAATAATATTTCAAAGCACCCTAATTCATATGCACTGTTTTTTTTTGTTTTTTGTTTTTTTTTTCTTTTCTCTCCACACACAGTGGTGAATTGATATCAGGTAAGCCTCCAGGTTCTCAGGCCCCAAGTCAACATGCAGGGTTCTAAGTCTTTAAGTGGTGACTGAGTCTCCCCCTCTGCTTGGCTGACACAGTCTATGTTGAGGTGTAAAAGTCTTGGATTCAAAAACATCATTTCTTCCTGGGTTTCTTGTTGTCACCAGGTCTGAGCAGAGGTCATCACTATGTACTTCAAATGTGAAGAAACCTTATGCTATAGATGTGGTAACACAAGTTGGACATTATGATTATTTTAAATTGTACTAAAAATATACACAACATTTTATACCAACTTCTTTTAAATGCAAACAATTTTTATTCAAACAGAACACTTCAATACAGAATGTACCAAACAGAAGTATGACCATAATTAACAGGACTCACCAGCGCTCATTTTCCATCAAGAAGACTGTATGCCAAGATCTTCCCCACTCCCCTAGGGACTCTCTGGGCTGAGATTAATAAGTGCTAACATTCAATAAGCACCACTCAAAACACCCCATACTAGGCCAGGACTCTTTCATGGATGATGTCATTGAATCTTCACTTTAAACCTTTGAAATAGTTATTGGTATTATCCCCATTTTATACACGAGGAAATTGTGGCAAAGTCTAAAGCCTTATAGGTACTAAGTACAAGACCAGGTAGCATTCTTCCATGGCCAGAATTCTTCATAACTGTGCCACAAGAGGGCACACTTGTAATTATAACCTGAACATCTAGAATGTGATGAAGAATCTGTGGAAATCAGAAGTGGAGAAGATTCAAGTAATGGTAATGGATATAAGGAAGCAATCATGGGGTGATAATACAAAAGAGTAGCACTTAAGGATAAACAAGGAAAGAAGAGAATGAGTTCTGCCCAATTCTTCATCAACTCAATTTCTCCACTCAGTCACCATATTTACAGATGGCCTAATAGTGTCAAAAATAGAAGGTTCAGTGATGTCAATACTGATGTGGTTTTTAGACACAATCTTCTGGGGATGAGATAAGTAAATAAACATGTACAATGGGATATAGTATGTGTTTTCACAAGGACAAGAACAGAGACAACCACCACATATGTCATTTGACTAGTATAATTAAGCTATCACTGTGGTGTTCAAACATTTCCTTTCTCTAGCATCCTTAAAGGTTTTAGCACTAGCCCTGCAAACTCTTCCATCTTCTTCCTCTTCAAGCCTGCACCAGAGCCCTCATCATTCAGCCCATTCATTCTGTGGACAAATAGCTATTCATGGTCTCACATTCAAGTCTCTCACTCACAGTATCACAAAACCCCTGGGGAGACCTAGGAAATTATGTTCTTCAAAGAGCCAAAGAACGAATATGCACACTGTTCCTTGAATCTTCAAACAGTCTCTGCAAATGTCTAATTGAATGAATTTGTTTTTGTCACAATCACAGGCTATCAGAAAATGAACTTAAAACTTACTGGAATTGTTTTGGTTAACATCTGTCTTCCTCTGACACATGAAAACTCCCTGCTAAGGATAACAAAGACAATTATACAAGCTATGAGAAAATTCAATTTACCTTCAATGATGACCATTTGTAGAATATTTCTGTTAAACCCATATTTGAAGCTGTAGATGTTTAAAGTTTAAACCTCATACAAGGAGTTTATTGAGGATCCACATATAACATATTGCAGCTTTGCCACCAACCAGCAAACTGACACTTTGTTCTCACTGCCCCAGTATTGAGACCAAACATTCCAGTCTGCTCATAACTCCAACTGTTGGTAGGGCTGGAATCCCATTATGAAAAGTGTTGAACCCCAATCTACAAGTACCTGCCAGAGATAAAGTCCTCTTTATTAAAATCCTCCATTAAAATGTCAAACATATATGCTATTTCTCTGGATGTCTTGTATTTCTTTTCATTTTTATGTACATGGAACCAATCTTGTTTTATAGATGCTTAACCATTTTGGATATGCATACATAAATGTAAATAATGGACAAATTCTTTACCAAAAATATGATTGCACTATTTATGAGATAATGTATTGTGATTAGTGAACACATTATCATTAAAAGTAGAAATTTATTTTTAAAAATGCACTCCATAAAAATGGAAAAAAGCTTTAAAATGCTCCAGGGAAAAATTAAAATTAGAAGCAACTTAATATTTTCCCAGTCAATATGTCTCTTGAGACTAATATTAAGTTTTCAGAAATCTATGCAACCTTTTTCAAAAACACTGTTGCATTTTAAAAGTAAGTGAAACAATATTAAATAGAAAAGATGTTTATGAACAAGTCTATTGTTCAAAACCACTATTTGGTATCTTGCTTGTTAAAACAAAATCTTGATACAAAGAAACAGATGATATACTGTGTTTTATGCCTGGAAATCAGTGTGCTTATTTCATATGTATGCACTTTTTTTTTTTTTTTTACTATATGACTCTTTGCTTATGAGTACTTAATCACAGCAACATTTCTTGGATGAAAAACCATATGAAAAATTGTGCATGAAATATTTCTATGGAGTATTACTTTTCAGGTTAGTGGAGGCAATTTAGAACTATACGATGTTAATACTCTACTCAGACTCAATGGTGCTTGATTTTTGAGTGATGCTAACAGTGACTGTCTAATACCTACAAAAATTTAATCGTACTTTGGTTTAGATAACACTTGGCATTAAAAATCTCTCTCTCTGTCTCTCT